CATAAAGTACCCAAGAAACGTGAGAAGAGCGCGACCAAAAGTCCAAGCGGGCGCTCACAGTCCAGGGGTAGAGAAAAGAAAGACGCATCCAAGATTGCGTGCAAGTTTTGAAAGGCTGGACGTTGCAAGAGGGGCGACAAGTGTGAGTTTTCCCAGCAACGGCCCAGGAAGGCCACGCCTGCCAGGTCACCATCACGTGACTCCCAGAAGAGCGATAGGAGCAAGAAGGACAAGCGTAAGAAGAAGAAGGGAGACCGTTCTCAGTCGAGGGGCTCCAGTGGTTCACGCAAGTCCGGAGGCTCCAGGTCGTCCAAGGGTTCACGTGGTTCTAGAGGTGCGGGTACAGCCACCCCAGCAGCAGTCTAGTCGCATCCCGACATCCGTGATATATACATATATGTGTGTGTAATTGGTCAACCTGTGATATATGTGTGTAATTGGTCAACCTGTGATCGCTTCTGCTTTATCTTTTACCCTACTCTACGTCACTTCTCCTGTTGGTATCCCACCTTGCTCTACATTTATTTGGCATAGTATATATAAATACTATCCAAGTCTCATTGCATCTTTGACACAATCGTATTTTAGAATAGAATAGAGTACAGCAGCTGGGACGAAGCTGAATGGAGAGGAGTGAGAGGTCATTGTTATTAGACATAAAGGTCCCCCCAAATATTTATATATATATATCCAGTATCCATTGGGAAAACCGAACCTCTTCTGTAGACTGTAGACTTGCGCACTGAGGCTGGAATATGTGGCACCACAAATGTCTGTAACTTTGACAGAAAGGTGTTCAACCTTGCCTTGGATCAATGCTTCCAAGACTTGTTCTTCATCCGGAGTGAGGATAATCTGGTCTAGAGGTTTTTTCTTCTCCTCTTCCTCACTGCCCTCACTCTCGACAAACTCAGGCAGTGGTTCTTTACCCTTCTTTCGGAGTTCAGAAATACGTTTCTCTGCGTGCCACTTGTTTGCCAGCTCCTTCAGCTCTTCCAAAGCAGGAGTGAAGGCGTCGGCGCCTGGAAACAGCAACCTTGGCTGTTTGACACCTGGGGTGTGCACCAAAAAGGTTGGGAGCACCGTCATTGCAAACTGGGCACTTGGTAGAAGCTGCTTGCCACAAATGGCATTGATGACCGTACTCTTCCCAGCCTTCATTGGCCCAACAAAGCACAGTTGGAGCTTCAAGGACTTCAGATTGGCCTGAACGTCCTTCAAAATGTCTTGAAAGCTTGAGGCCATCTGATTGAAGTTCGGCAAGAAACGTTGTGGGATACGCTGCAGGTCCTGAAAGAAGAGTTCGCACTTCCTTGCAACCTCCAGAGACCTAGTCCGCAAGGTGGGAAGATCAGCAAGGCTTAGGGCTTGGTGATGATGGGTTTGTTCAATGCACCGAAGAATTAGTTGCAGTTGATCCACAATCTCTGTTTGGTCTTCCTTCATATGTTCAACCATAGCAGCTACTTCCTCCAACTTGCCGGCACGCTTCTGCTCATGGAATTGGGCCAGAACTTCATGTTGAAGAACTGTTTGCTTCAACGTAAGATGTGCTTGAAAATTCTCCTGCGCGGCCTTCAACTGCCCGAGAGCTTCTTGGATCTCGGTTTTCGATCCGCCGCCTGTAAGAGAAGCAAGCGCAGCATTCCGGAGGGCATTTTCTTTGGACTCAGTCAGCCTCTCCTTGCACAACTTGAGCGCATCCACTAGATGCTCCATTGGTTTTACAAGCCCTGGAAACTCATCAATGCGCTCGCTGTAAGACTTCTGAAAGGTCTCAATGGTGCTCTGAGTGGCCAAGAGCAAGTTGTCAGCCACTTCAATCAGGCGCGGGATCTTTTGGCTCTCTTTCAAGTCTTTGTAGGCTATCTGCAAAGCGTTTAGGGCAGGCACCAACATGGATGCCATGATGCCACAACAAGAAAAATGCTGAAGGCGCTTGGACCAAAAAGTATGTATATATATATATATAGAGTTCTTTTTTTGGGGGGGAGGCAAAATGCGGGTTCAGTCTCCCTTCTAAGACGAAGCAAGAATTACAAGAAACACAGGGCTGTGGTAGTCTTCCTCCAGATCTTTCCTCAAATCTTTTTAGTCCCGCTTTCACTTTCACGCGTACAAATACGCGTAAGTCAAACATGACCTGAACAGTAGCTAGCACAGCTTTCTTTGAGAGCGTGCCTCCAGCGCTCGACCTACCACAAAACGCAACAATTGAAAAATTGTTTAAGGAGATTTGGCCATCCTCTTGACCATGTTGTTGTGGATTTTCTTTGCTTGAAGTGGCAACAGCCCAAGTTCCTGTTGCAGCTCCTCCACTGAGAGACCCGCAAGGACCTCTCCATCTACCGAGTTCTCGGCAAAGCTCTGGCGAACAGTCTCACTCATCTCGAGTTCGTTCAGGAAATTTTGCACATCTGCAACCTTCCAAGTATTCACACCATTCACTGGCGAGACTGGCGAGGCACTGCCAGATGTTGAGCAGGGTGGCTCCCTCATGGGTTCCTGTTCAGCTTCTGTTGGGGCAACAGAGTCAGTGTCGGCAGCAGCAAGTCCGCCCTGCCCGAGATCAACTTGCTGGCAATACTCCTCCATCACATCACCTTGCTCTGTCAGCTGTGACAGCTCTGCTATGTCCATGTCAATGTTTTGGATCTGAGCAAGAAGAGTGCGGAGTATGGATAAATATTCAAAGCCCTTGCCCTTCTCATTCTCAGAGACCTTATGCAGCTGCTCTGTGTATTTGCTCAGCTGTTCCAAGTATGTCCGCTCCAACTCTTCATACTTTTCCCCCATGAGTTCCTCCATATGCTTCTCCATACTCTCCACCCAAGCCGCACGCTGCTTCTCAATCGTCTGAATGAAAGATCTCTTCATCTGCGACACAGAAGTGATGGTCACGTCTCTTTCCTTCATAAATCTCTTGACCAGATAAAACCGCCACGCAGTGCGCTGCTTGCTGCGCGTCTCTGATTTCATGGCCACTTGTTCAGGAGTGCTGAACTCAACTTGATCACGCCAGTGAAAGTCAGGCTGTGCCACTTGGGAGACCTGTAGACAAACCTCTTGCTCACACTCTTGCATCCGTTTGGTGCAGCCAAGAATCCATTCTTGCAGCTTGATAGTGGCTTTCTTCTGCAAGTCACATTGTATGCCGGCAATGATGCTGGTATTCAGGTTCTTCTTGACAACCTTCCAGCTGTTGGCAAACAACTCTTCAGCATTGCGTTCGCAATCGGTGCCAAAGAACATAATGAGTTCCTCACGCATGCTTTCAACAAAACACGCACCAAAAGAAACACGCTGAAAACAGAACGCTTCAATACCACACTCAAGCAGCTGAAACCCCCCCTGTAAGGTTGAGTGAAAAAAGAACCAGATCAAGCCAGTGTTCATTTGGCTAGCGGCTATGTGCCATAAGCAAGCTGCGAGGAAAAGAAAGAGTGCGCTTGCCGTTACCGTTTATCTCATTGTTAGTTACAAAAGGCAACTACCAAAACGGAGCATGCAGGCTGACTCCTTTTTGTCGGTGATGGGCCGCCTCGTTTCGCGTCGGCAGATCACCCCAAAAGGTGCCAAGGTTCACCTGGCTTTCCTCCTGGGGCGGGTGGGAGGGCCTAAAGTGGTAGGAAGGCATCAAAATTCTTGAGCCAGAAGTGAAGCCACATTCCACTAACCCTACATTCTACCGAAAAACCGAGTTAGTAACAAAAGGCAACCACCAAAACGGAGCACACAGGCTGACTCCCTTTTGTCGGTGATGGGCCGCCTTGTTTCGCGTCGGCAGATCACCCCGAGAGGTGCCAAGGTTCACCTGGCTTTCCTCCCGTTGAGCCAGCGAAGGCAATGGAGTATTGCCGTGAAGAAATGAATTATTATAAGCTCAAAAGTTCCCCTCTCTCAGAATCATCTCGTCCGCGAGTCATCGCTACCGCATCCTGTGCTCTGGAATTGGGGCCCTGCATGCTTTCATCCGTGAGCAGGGTTGCGGTACCACTGCGCATAGTCCCCTTCCGGCGGATCGCCGGAACTCTCAGGCTTCCACGTTCCAGCTTTCGTCGTCCTGCTGTTCCATGACCACTGCCAGCTGGACCAATCCCAACCGGTCTGGCTGCTTCCACAGGGGGAGCCCCTTGTTTGGCGGTCGGTTCTGCGTGGGGCTGTCGGCTGCTCTTGGCTGTGTTTGGGGAGTGGTTGGCTGAACGCTGGCCGTTCCAGCGGGGCGCTGGGGTGGACTTCTGCCTTGGTGCTCAGCGGCGCGCCCGCTTGTACTGGTTTTCCACTTCTCAGCCCGTCTCTGAGCCCGCTTTTCGCCCTTGGCCTTCAAGAAGCTAGGCATAAGGACTTTCTTAGGCTTCTCAGAGGTGCGCAGGTTCTGGGTAGGTCCTCGAATGTCCTGGAGTCCGCGATCCTGCTGCCAGGTCCTCTTGGAACTTACCCGGATGTGGCTTGTCGAAGTGGGGCTCAAGGTTGATGCGCATGTCCCAGAGGCGGTCGACACATCGCTTCCATGCATTATACAATGTTCTCCCGTGTCCTGTTCAGGATCTCCTCATCTTCGGCCTTCTCCTCCGCCGTCCTGTCATCCTCTCCTCCCCAGTCAACGCTTTCTTCATCGAAGTACGGGGAGAAGATGGTCTCAGCGGTGGCTGAAGGGGCCTTCGAGGTAGCTCCCCGCTGTGCGGAAGGTGATGCCGCTGGAACAGCAGCTGAAGGCACGCCGGCGCTGCCCTCTGGGGTCTCTGGACGTCTTCTCTCCGGGTTATCCGGGCGCTGCCTTTCCCCCAGCAGGCTTGAACTTTGGCGGGTTCTTCACTCCTGGTCCAGGGCCTTCTTGCTTACCCTCGCCAGTCAGCAAGTGTGACGCTGCTGGATGCAAATGATATCCCAACAAGCACTGAAGGGGGGCCCGGCACGGACCACCCAACGGGTTTTGGGCGGAGCGCCCCAAACATCTTTGGCATGTACTGGATGAAGTGGTCGATGAATTCTTGCGCGACCTCTTCATAGGTCCGAGAGTTGTCCTGACCACCGGTGGGCCCCTCATCCTGAGCATCGGGCCACATTGGTTCGTCCCAGTCCACGTTCGAGCCGAACTCGTGCCCGGTGAGCTCGTCGGACTCTTCTTCCTCGATGTGGACTTGCACAAAGTCGTCATCGCTGGGCCGGCCATGAGCTTCCTGCCAAAACATATCGCACCGCGCCGCACAGGGCTCTAAAAGCTGCGTTCAGCTGGTTCATGGGGACCAATGTCGTCTAGGAGCTGTGGGAGGTGGGGCCGGCTGGGCCGGTATCCCGGGCAGAGCACCCTCAAAGCTATGCACAGTCTTCGGCCTGGCCTTTACTGGGATGGTGGCGGGTGCTTTGGGCTGTGCTTGAGGCGTGGTCGGTGCCGCGCTGCCCTAGCTCCCGTCTGTTGTGGTGGAAAGGACGGGGAGGCTTCCTGCGCCTCGCATCCTTTGGCTGCTCGGTGGGAGGTGGTGGTTGGTGCCCCTGTGGTTTTGGTTCCCTGTCCGAGGACGCTGGTGTCTGCGAGGCAGGGGGGAGGAGGAGGCTTCCTAGGCCCCTCGTGTTGGGGCGGCGCCTTGCGGCCGCCTGGCTTTGGTCCCCCGTCCTGCGAGGCCGAGGTTTGCCGCTGTGAAGCGGAAGGCATCCAGGGTTCAGCTCCCGGGCCACGGTGGCTGCTGCTTCCCGATGACCTCCCAAACTGTTGCTCAGGATTCCTTCTCTCACCATAGGCCTGCTGGGTATAGGCCTGACGAGCATAGTACCCCGACGCCTGGCCGCCGCTGAAGTCGGTGTGGGTTGGCGCCGTGGTGGCGCTCCTTCTGGCCCCTGGCGGGGGGGGCCCGGCTGCCGAAGAGGCCTTAGCAGGAGGAACTCCCGCGGCCGAGGGCTTTGAGAGCGAAACCACCGGGGATAGTGTGCTGCTGTGAAAGGGGTCGAGGAGAATGTCCCTTGCTGCCGTCAACAAATTTGAACTCATTGGGTTTCCTCTCTCTCACCTCTTCCGGAGCTCCTGCGAACTTGTCCGGATGGATCACCCTTGCCTTTTTTCTGAAAGCAGGTAATACCTCTCACGGGGCACAGCCCTCTCTGACTCCCAGCAAGTTGTAGAGGTTCAGAGTGGGACAATTCTGGAGGAACAGCGCCGGCTTCAGCTGACCCTGCCATGGTAGCGAAGGATGCCCGCTTCCCTGGGCCCAGGATGCGGCCCGAGCCGTCTTGTCCGCTGCAGTGCTGCGCTTCGCTCTGGAACCAGCTAAGACGGGCTACTTTCCCAAGGGGTGGTTCATGGTTAGGGTTTCTTTGATTGGGCATCCCAGAGGATATGCCCTCCTGTGCGGTATGATCCTCAAACAGGTACGCATGGACAGCATCCGATGACCAACCCCCATATCTCTTGAGTCTTTCAAGATCGCCGGTACTTGCGAAAAACGCTGTGGCCGCCCCTTTCCTAAGGGAGTGTGAGCCGGCTAGCTCGCTGGGGAACCCGGCGGGCTGAACCTAGCCTTTCAAGGGCGGCGTCTCCCCCGACAAAGCGAGTCCTTGCCACGATCCCGGGCAGTGCGAATCTCTCGCGCAAGGGGAGCAGTTTCTCAAAGGCAACCTTGAAGCTGGCCCCCCATGGTCGTCCATTTGGAGCCTGACCCAATCGAAAGCGTCCCAGAATTCCCACGCCGTTTCAACCTCCTCGGGGGAGCCCCGTTGGCAAACCTTGAGATGTTCCCCTCGCTCCTGCTGAAACAGGCGGTAGAACACTGGGAGGTAGGGTGAAATCTCTGGCGCTGAGACGGCCCAATACTGCGCAGAGCCCGCCAATTCTCGAAGGACCTTGCCGGAAAGATCCCGACATCCTCGCTGGAGTTCTGCCTCTTGAAGGAGGTGCTTTGCTTTGATCCTTTTTGGCTCGGGCAGAACCACTTCCTCCTTTTCGAAGTCAACACGCAGGCCCCACAAAAGCTGAGATGAGGAGCGGGCCTATCGTGGTGGGGAACTTTTAGACCAATGCGCCGCCAGGGCTCCTTAGCATACTTTTCACGCAAAACCATAAGACTTCCACAAACGACCAGCAAAGCAAATCGACCTAACAATAAAATCATTTGCACGAAAACATGACACGCACAAAGCAAAAACAATGCTTCATACTTTTTTAAACCATGCATCATCAAAAAGCACATACAGACGCAAACTTATGATTTTTACATTGAAATGTTAAAGTAAAAACCACAAGTTTTGCAACAGAACCTGAACAAAAAGAACAACGTAGAACCAGACTCATCCTTACCAGGGCTCTCCCTGAAGGAAAAGGACATAGAAATCCTTCCTGCTAAATGGATACCGCTTCGTTTGATGTCTTTTTTAAAGCTGGTGACCACACATATCCCGAATAATCAATGATAAATCCACCTATAACTATAACCTAAATAAACATACTGGCACCTGATTTGTTTGGCAAACTAGTCCACAAAGTTTCACTCAGCCCAGTCTGTTCAGCATACTCTCAAGGTCAGTCTCAGTTTTTGGTGAACACTGATGAAAGGCACTTTAACATGTAGTGCATGTCTCATACCATTCATTTTACATGACGTGTTGATCCTTTTCACACCCTTTCACAGTATTCGAACCTGTACAAAGCTAGTGACAAGACACTTCCCGCACAATGCCCGCTCATCACCTGTCAACCCACAAAGTTCTAACAAATCCAGAGAACACTACAAATTCATCACACCCTAACGTTTTCCTGAATAAACACTACAAAAAGTCAGCAAAATTCAAAATGATTCCGAACTCATTTCCAACGTCCACCAAACTTTTCACCAAGTATTCTCCACTTTGGGGGAAGCCATCTGAACAACAAATATGTTTCCTATTTGTAAAGGTTTTATATAGATCTTGCGTGCATTTTCAGCTTGTTGCAGCATCATGTGCCTGTTTTTGAAACATACCAATACCTACTAGAGTAAGTTTTGATCAGTAATGAGGAATCCATTCACTCTCCCACACCCACGGTCATCATGAGGTCACTCGCAATCCTGAATTTTTTGCTCAAGAAGCACTGTTTGAAGCAGTGACATAAGCTCATCCCAGATACCTGCCTTGCTTAGCAGCAGGTAATACACCAACTAATAATTTAGAATAATTTAGATTATATATATATTGATATATTGTATGTACACATACTTATGTTTAACATAACACGCGCAATCCCATCCACCCACTGCCAGTCCACAAATCCCTTGGCATCACCAATCTCCACCAATCCACCCACAGCTCACGCGCGAGTGAAATACCTCGTCAGTTCATGTGGAGCTTGCCTCATGTAATGATCAATATTTCATATGACATAATTATCATGGACATTTCGTGATCCCATCAATGCATTGCTAGCGCTCACGGCTGCAATCTTGAGATGGGCTCATGAATGTTGTAGAGGTAGCTCATCCAAAGTTTGAGGGTCAACACACGGAGCATCCCTCAAATGGCTGAGACCTGATTGGCATCAAACAAACATAATAACCTCAGGCGTACTAAGTTACACAGTTGATGGGTTTATGCATGACATATGGATTAAACAGATCTACCTCATGAATTCACCAAGCTCAGCCATTTCTCATGTGCTCATCACCTGGCTGGCGCAGGTGATGCATTGCACATCTTGTCATAAATTGGCCACATCGACTCATTCCGCAATGAAATTGTCACAACTTCCTTAATTACTCATAGACAGCAAATTTTAGTTCAAAAGTAATCATTCTAAGTCTCGTAACCGTATTGATTTTCTCATTCCTCACATCGCACAAAACCTGGCGCTGCATCCTCATCCAATAGTAAAAGGCCCATACTCAGCGCAACAACCTTCATGTTAATCTGTGAAGTATAGACCCATGACAAAGCAACATAGTAATATGTCCAATATGTGAAAACCAAGATTATGTCGTAGTAACTATATTTATCTAGTTACTAGGTAACCTGCACCTTATCCTTTCAGCCTGGGCGCCAGACTCATTCCCCTCGTCCGAAAAAGCATCCCACTGTGGGTTCGATGGTTTGAGTGGACTGAGTACGCCAGTCATGAGATGTGCTACACATCTAAATACCAACATAAACCACCCAATGAACTGGTTGATGACATCAAACAAAAACATAAACATACGCTGACTCATCCAGGTTGCTCAAATCCTTCCTGTATGTTCTTCACGTATTCATTCACCTATATCTTCACACCCCCTGTCTGAAGATGGCCATCATTGAACCTCAGATGCAATAAGTGTCGCCAACAGACCCAACCTCGACCCCAATTCAAGCCACTAATTATCCCCAACCACAACAGACCCCACTACTCATTACAACCCACCCCCAATCCAATTCCACGCACGCTTGCTGATCTTTCTGCGTTTGCTCGTTTGCAATTCAGTGCCCATCAGCGCACATGCCACCAGACCACCAGAGTGCGCAATTCTAACCATGACGCTGATCTTGTCTCAGGCCAGTTAATCCAAGAAAACTGATTAATCACGGCGTTCATTCAACAATCTTCATGTAAACCAACACCAAAACTACCCAATCAATCTCAACCAATAACTCCCTCCCTTTCATAATTAGATGAGCCATTGCATCATCAGCATTCTTTCTAACCTTCCCGTTCTCAGCTGCATTGAGAATTTCAAGCTAGTCAAGACATTTATATATCATATTTGTTTTGTTTTTTAATGAATATATATATATATATCACCAAGCCAAATCATTAACAAAATCAAACCATATATATATATGTATTATTGCTTTTACTTCAAGATTCAACCACACCTTAAACACATACGCAAAAAATTCGACCAAGAACATCACCAATACTTGCTCCGATGAGCAGCCGGCAAAACATAGACCAATCTACAAAAAAGAGCAATCAACATATGTATATATATACTGTGTTCCTACAAAAAACAATCCGCATACGTATATATATATATGTTTTTTGTGTACTGGCTAGTAACAACAAAACAACAGAAGAGAATACAAGTCATCTGAGAATCCCTGATCAACCGCCCACGCGTATCCAACTGCCTCTCTATGGATGAAATGTTGCCACGCATGCTGCGTACAGGACCTATCATCTCACCCACCGGATTCCTTTCCAAGGCAAATTCAACCAAAGATTTCAATATGTGTCCTAAGCCCA